AGCTCAAAAAATGAAACTCTACCTCATAATCTAATCAAACAAACAATTCTCTTCGAAATGCAAACTTTTATCATGTAGAAGATCATTAGCGCTTCAACCGACTTCCATCTGCCGACCTCCAATGACTAAGACTCATTTTAGTCCATTTTTGGATTAAACGATGGTCATTCTGCGTTGCTGCGAACGATTGATTGTAATCATTTGGAAATCACTGGAATCGCGATGTTGGGGATTAAAACGAATTTGCATATCATTTACCGCCGGAGTTTTCAATGCGAAAACAGTAGGCGAGAAATGGAGAGCGACACCGTTGAATCAGGTGAGAGAAACGTCCTCGTATGGAAATTTTTGTGAGATTATCAGAAACAAAGTCGCGAGATAGTGATTGCAGAGAAAACTAAACTCAACAGAAGTGCAGACATGTTCGTTGCTACTATGCATCTTTCTCCACTTTCTATATTCTGAACACCAAGCGTCGAGGAACCATCTCGTCCCTGCAATCGTGCTAAGTCTGATATTCATAGTTAGCCCGCACTATTCTTGAAGCCCGCCTCAGCTATTTAAGTCTATAATTTTGACTGTACGTAAGCGTGGAATCCGCTTGCTAGTATTTTTGTGAATAGATGAACGGCCGATTGCACAACGATTTGAAAGATGCAGATGTGGAGCAGGGCAACAAGAATACTGTAAGTTCGTTGCCTGTCACGCCTAACTTTTCATTACATCCTCAATCAGATTTGGACTTCTGCAAGACTATTGCAGTACCTGCAAATGCAAGATTTGCAGAAGAAGCAAGAGGATGCTTCTGGGAAGATGGGGATGAAGAGATCAAATGGACCTCTATCTACGAAATCCGTACGATTTTCTCTCTACAGTAATCCAGCTGAGCTGCCACCAATTAAACGACGTAAGTCGCTCATTAAGAGGCTTTATCGGAGAATGAGGATACTTCAAAACTTCAAATGCAAGGATCGTAAAAAATGCCAAATTTGGTAACATACGTTACCGCAACACCATTTCTCACATAAATAGATCATACTGAATCTCATCATAAAAATTGGTTCAGATGTGAATACGAACAATGTGAAGAATATAATATCTGATTGGATCTACTTAGCTGTACTTGGCGTTTGTACGGCATTTCTGTCTATACTAGTAGATATGATAATATATTACTGTCAAGAAGGTAAGAATTTTTCATCCGTTTCGCAAGCATCTTTTATCGAATTTTTTTT